AGGAGGAAAAGAGAGAGAGAGAGAGAGAGAGAGAGAGAGAGAGAGCCTCCTTCCTCAGCATATGACTTATATACAAAATCCAACCAATCAGAAGTGGGCTAAAGTCCATGCATGGAGCACTCCAATCTGATGCCTGTTCACGCAGAATTCATGCACTCCTGGGCCAATCAAATGAGATGTCACGCGGTGGGCAGGCTCTTCATGTGGTCCTCGGCGCCATCTTGTTGTTTACAACACTCTATACCCTTTTTGGAAAGTCCCTCTTAGTCAGTTACATCCGGTGGAAAGAACTATCCCAACTGAAACTAAAAATATCCGCTTTAGCAAACGCAACACGGCTGCCAGGCCAAGCCTTAACTCAGAGGTCCCATGGTAGGCCTACCCATGGGTCCCCACATCCTTGATCAAATATAAGTTAGCTGCAGATGTTTGGGTTGCTTTCTGGTGTTTCTATTCTGTTCCATTGGTCTATCCATCTGTTTCTGTACCAGTACCATGCTGTTTTGATTACAACTGCCCTGTAGTATGTCCTGAAATCTGGTATTGTGATGCCTCCAGCTTTGTTTTTGTTTTACAAGATTGTTTTAGCTATTCGAGGTCTCCTGTGTCTCCATATGAATTTCAGCATCATTTTTTCCAGATCTGAGAAGAATGTCTTTGGTATCTTTATTGGTATTGCATTGACTCTATAAATTGCTTTTGGGAGAATGGACATTTTGATGACATTGATTCTTCCAATCCATGAGCCCGGAAGATTTTTCCATATTTTTGGTATCCTCTTCTATTTCTTTCTTGAAGATTTTGTAATTCTCATCATAAGGATCTCATCGTAGAGATCTGTACTGCAAAAGAAACAGTCAGATGAGTGAAGAGGCAACCAACAGAATGGGAAAAAATATTTGCAAACTATGCTACAGATAAAGGATTAATAACCAGAATCTACAAGATCAAGAAACTCCACAACATCAAAACAAACAACCCACTTAGGAGATGGGCCAAGGACCTCAATAGACATTTTTCAAAAGAAGAAATCCAAATGGCCAACAGACACATGAAAAAATGTTCAAGATCACTAGCAATCAGGGAAATGCAAATCAAAACCACAATGAGGTTTCACCTCACCCCGGTTAGAATGCTCACATACAGAAAGCTACCAACAACGGATGCTGGCAAGGATGTGGGGAAAAAGGGACACTAATCCATTGTTGGTGGGAATGTAAACTGGTCAAGCCACTATGGAAGTCAGTCTGGAGATTCCTCAGAAACCTGAATATAACCCTACCATTCGACCCAGCCATCCCACTCCTTGGAATTTACCCAAAGGAGTTTAAATTGGCAAACAAAAAAGCGGTCTGCACCTTAATGTTTATTGCAGCTCAATTCACAATAGATAAGACCTGGAACCAACCTAAATGCCCATCAACAGTAGACTGGATAAAGAAATTATGGGATATGTACTCTTTAGAATACTATACCGCAGTAAGAAACAACGAAATCCAGTCATTTGCAACAAGATGGAGGAATGTGGAAAACATCATGCTGAGTGAAATAAGCCAGTCACAAAGGGACAAATATCATATGTTCTCCCTTATCAGTGACAACTAACTGTGCACCAAAAAGGAAACCTGTTGAAGTGGAATGGACACTATGAGAAATGGAGACTTGATCAGCCCTTGCCCTGACTGTTGATGAACAACTTAATACTTTATCCCTCCTAGTATTTTTTTCTTGTTTGTTCTACTTAATACTTTTGGTTGAATTCTGTAATTAATACACAGTTATTCTTAATTGTTGATACTTAACTGAAAAAATGATCCCTATTAAATATAAGAGTGGGAATAAGAGAGGGAAGAGATGTACAATTTGGGACATGCTCAAGCTGACTTGCCCCAAACGGTAGAGTTAGAAACATACCAGGGGATTCCAATTCAATCCTATCAAGGTGGCATGTACCAATGCCATCTCACTAGTCCAAGTGATCAATTTCAGTTCACAATTGATCATAATGATAGGACTAAGAGTCAAAGGAATCATATAAACAAGACTAGTGTCTGAAAATACTAACCGATAGAATCAAAAAGGGAGAGAATGATCCAACATGGGAAGCAGGATACACAACAGACTCATAGAATGGCGGATGTCCTAAACAGCACTCTGTCCTCAGAATTACCCCTTAAGGCATTTGGATCTGGCTGAAGAGTCCATGAGAGTATTTCAGGCATGGAAAGCCAAGACACTCTGGCAAAAAAAAAAAATGACTTAAATGAAAGATCTCCATGAGTGAGATCCCAGTGGAAAAAAACAGGTTAGCAAAGGAGGAGGAACGTTTCTCTGAAGGGAAGCGAGTACTTCCACTTTGACTATGACCTTGTCTAAATATGATCAGAGTCAGTGAACTCAAAAGGCTTCCATAGCCTTGGCAACTCATGACAAGAGCCTAGGGTGATTACTGACACCATAAACAAGAGTGTCAATTTGTTAAGTCAACAACAGGAGTCACTGTGTACTTACTCCTCATGTAGGATCTCTGTCCTTAATGTGCTGTACATTGTGATTTAATGCTATAACTGGTACTCAAACAGTATTTTTCACTTTGTGTTTCTATGTTGGTGCAAACTGTTGAAATCTTTACTTAATATATACTAAACTGATCCTCTGTATATAAAGAGAATTGAAAATGAATCTTGATGTGAATGGAAGGGGGAGGGAGTGGGAGATGGGAGGGTTGCAGGTGGGAGGGAAGTATAAGTAAACACATTTTTAATGCTGAAGAAACTCTCTTTTTTACAAAAAATGAAACTGTCAATACATTAAAGTACTCACAAACATGACAACCCTAAAACATAAAATTTGATTCAAAAATAATTGTAATACATAAGCTGTACTTTGGAAATTTATATTCATTAAATAAAAGTTAAAAAAAAGGCCAATCTGCAGGATTCCAAACATTCTGTGCAGGATAGTGGGTAACATGGCTGACTGAAAACTGTCTCATTCTTGCTAATATACATACAGCAAATTTCTCTCAGAACACAGTAAGATGGAATGAGCAATAACTGGGTAGTAACACAATCTATTCTGGTACTCGACGGTAATAGAGTTTAGCACAATCTATTGAAAATTGGAATTTTATGAGTTTTTATTTTTTTTAAAAAAGATGCTACTGCAGCATAAAGACAATGAAAATAAAACAGTGATAAAAATGCAAAATTTAAGAAAAATCACCGGAGACCTTAATTGTCTATAAATTTATCTTTAAATTCAATGCTTATGAAATCAAAGTAATGCTAATGCTTTCTATTTATTTTTCAAGCATGCCCTAGCATCCTTAAAGATTAAAAGGATCAAGAACTGTCAAGATCATTTTCAAAATGAATGAGTGTATGAAAATATCCTAGTAGCTGCTAAAGCTTCTTATGAATTTCAATGTAACTATTTATAGTAATTAGAAAAGTATGTGATGTATGAATCACTAATGGAAAAGCCAAGTAGGCCAGAAACATATCTCTGTTAACACAGAAAACTACATACTAGATTGGGAAAGAAGTATAAGTAAACACTTTTTTAATGCTGAAGAAACTCTCTTTTTTGCAAAAAATGAAACTGTCAATAATACATTAAAGTACTCACAAACATGACAACCCTAAAACATAAAATTTGATTCAAAAATAATACCATATAATAATTAATATGTCAGCCTGATAACATTGCCACACATGCAACTAATAAAGAATTATATTTAAAAATAAATTAAGGACACCCATTTTAACAAGTGAAACTGCAATAAAAGTAAAAAACAAAAGCAAAATACAACATACATAATGAATGCACAAAAAAGAACAGCTGACATTTCAAATATCAGTATACACAACGAAAGCCCCACCTCACCTCCAGCTAAGGGAAGAGGAAAATAAATAGTAACTATGATGGCGTAACTTTGGAGAATAAGTGGATAAAATAAAAAGAACTCAAAATGTTCAACAAAGTTTAGTCATTTTTTTCTTCTAACCACTTGCCATATGCAAAAACACATATTGCCGCAAAAACACATATTGCCACAGAAATAAGTAATATCATGTGTGCACACATGCACACACACACACACGCACACACTCAGTAGCCTAATAAGCAATAATAACAAAAACTAGAGACACTTACATTTCCCCTAAGTGAATAGGAACAGCAATTTGTTTCCTTACTAAACTATTGAGAATAGACCAGTTCAAGATGAATAACACTTGCCAAGTTGGCTATTATATCTATAGTATAACAAACTATTTTATTGAAGTTTCAAACATGTAAATTAGCTTATATATTTGAATTGTGCATCACCATATGAAGAAGTATGAAATACACCCAGTATTAATATATACCATGTGCAAGAAGGTGATTATTTTTAGTGTTAAAAGGAAAAGTGTTAAGTGTTTTTAGTGTTAAGAGGATTATTTTTAGTGTTACAAGGAAAGCCAGCACTATGACACAGTATATTACACTGTCATCTGCAGCACCGACACCCCATATGGGCATAGGTTCAAGTCTTGGCTGCTCCATTTCTGAGCCATCTCCCTTCCCTGATAATGCATCTGGGAAGACAGAAGATGATGGCCCAAATATTTGAGACCCAAAAGAAACTCCCAGCTCCTGGCTTCAGCCTGGCTAGCCCTAGCTGTTGCATCCCCTTTGAGAGTGAACAAGAGGATGGAAACTCTCTTTCTCACTGCCTTTCAAATAAATGATAAAATATCATATATTATCATAAAATAATAGAATAAATTTTAGAAGTGTTGAAAACTCTGATATGTCAGTTGTATGATAATCTTTTTGCATTTTTGGAAATATAAAAAGTAGCATCAATTGGCTTATAATGCAAATATCAGACAGTAAATAATTGATTTATTAAGGTCAATTATATATGATACTCATATTCTAAATTCCTATTGCTTTTCACACCAAGAATTTTAATAATGCTATAATTGTCTATGAGTAAATAAACAAAGTTATTAGTTTTCTCCAGCATACTCTTTCAGCTGAAAGGAGCAAAAAGAATGATCATCAATGCTGAATATATCAAGGGAAATACTTCTCCGTGCAGTTTTACAATATATATTGTCAACCTTCAAAAGCTCCTGATGCATTTGAACTCAAAATTCTGTTTTTTTAAAAGATTTATTTATTTATTGAAAGTCAGAGTTACACAGAGAGAGGAGAGGCAGAGAGAGAGAGAGAGGTCTTCCATTTGATGATTCATTCCCCAATTGGCCACAATGGCTGGAGCTGTGCTGATCTGAATCCAGAAGCTAGGAGAGTCCTCTGGGTCTCCCATGCAGGTGCAGGGGCACAAGGACTTGAGCCATCTTCTACTGCTTTCCCAGGCCATAGAAGAGAGCTGGATCAGAATTGGAACAGCTGGGTCTCAAACTGGTGCCCATAAGGGATGCCAGCACTACAGGCTGCACCACTGCACCCACCCCAAATTATATTTTTTCAACATTTATTTAATAAACATAAACTTCCAAAGTACAACTTTTGAATTATTGCAGCTTTTCCCCCAATAACCTCCCTCCCACCTGCGACCATCCCATCTCCCACTCCCTCTCCCATCCCATTCTTCATCATGATTAATTTTCAATTATCTTTATATACAGAAGATCAACTTAGTACATACTACATAAAGATTTCAACAGACTGCACCCACAAAGACACACAAAGTACAGAGTACTGTTTGAGTAGTGGTTTTACCATTAATTTGTATATTACAACACATTAAGGGCAGAGGTCCTACATGGGGACCAGGTGCACAGTGACTCCCATTGTTGATTTAACAATTGACACTCTTATTTATGATGTCAGTAATCACCTGAGGCACTTGACATGAACTGCCAAGGCTATGGAAGCCTCTTGAGTTCACCAACTCTGATCTTATTTAGACAAGGCCATAGTCAAAGTGGAAGTTCTCTCCTCCCTTCAGAGAAAGGCATCTCTTTCTCTGATGGCCTGTTCTTTCCACAGGAATCTCACTCACAGAGATCTTTCATTTAGGTCAATTTTTTGCCACAATGTCTTGGCTTTCCATGCCTGAGAAACTCTCATGGGATTTTTAGTCAGATCAGAATGACTTAAGGGCTGATTCCTAGACTAGAGTGATGCTTAGGGTTTTTGCCATTCTATAAGTCTGCTGTGTATCCTGCTTCCCATGTAGGATCATTCTCTCCTTTTTATTCTATCAATTATTTGCACACACTGGTCTAATTTATGTAATCCCTTTGACAATTAATCCAATCTTTTCAATCAATTATGAACTTTAACTGATCACTTTAACAAGTAAGATGGCATTGGTACATGCCACCTTGATTGGATTGAATTGGAATTCCCCTGGCACATTTCTAGCTCTATCATGAGGGATAATTCTAATTGAGCATGTGCCGAACGGTACATGTCCTCCCTCTCTTATTCCCAGTCTTATATTTAACAGGGACCACTTTTCACTTAAATTTAAATGACTAAGAATAATTGTGTGTTAATTAAAGAGTTCAATCAACAGTATTAAGAAGAATAAAAAAACACTAAAAGGAATAAAATAATAAGTTGTTCCACGACAGTCAGGACAAGGGCTGATGAAGTCACTGTTTCTCATAGTGTCCATTTCACTTCAATAGGTTTCCTTTTAGGTGCTCAGTTAGTTGTCACAGATCAGGGAGAACATATGATATTTGTCCCTTTGGGATTTACTTAGTTCACTCAACTTGTTTTCCAGATTCCTCCATTTTGTTGCAAATGACTGGATTTCATTTTTTTTACTGCTGTATAGTATTCTAGAGTACATATCCCATAATTTCTTTATCCAGTCTTCTGTTGATGGCCATTTTGGTTGATTCCATGTCTGAGCTATTGTGAATTGAGCTGCAATGAACATTGAGGTGCAGACAGCTCTTTTCTATTTGCCAATTTAATTTCCTTTTTGGGTAAATTCCAAGGAGTGAGATGGCTGGGTTGTATGGTAGGCCTATATTCAGGTTTCAAAGGAATCTCCAGACAGACTTCCATAGTGGCTTTACCAGTTTGCATTCCCAGCAACAGTGGGTTAGTGTCCCTTTTTCCACACATCTTCACCAGCATTTGTTGTTAGTTGATTTCTTTATGTAAGCCATTCATTATAATCAAAACAGCATTGTATTGGTGCAGAAACAGATGGATAGACCAATGGAACAGAATAGAAACACCAGAAATCAATCCAAACATCTTCAGCCAACTTATATTTGGCAAGGACCTAAAACCAATTCCTGCAGCAAAGACAGTCTATTCAACAAATGGTGCTGGGAAAATCGGAGCTCCACATGCAGAAGCATGAAGCAAGACCCCTACCTTTCACCTTACACAAAAATTCACTCAACATGGATTAAAGATATAAATCTATGACTCGACTACATCAAATTATCAGAGAACATCAGAGAAACCCTGTAAGATATAGGCACAGGCAAAGACTTTTTGGAAAAGACTCCAAAGGCACAGGCAGTGAAATCCAAAATTTACATTTGGAGTTAATTGCATCAAATTGAGAAGCTTCTGTACTTCAAAAGAAACAGTCAGGAAAGTGAAGAGGCAACCAACAGAATGGGAGAAATATTTGCAAATTATGCAACCAACAAAGGATTAATAACCAGAATCTACAATGAGATTTAGAAACTCCACAATAACAAAACAAACAACCCACTTAAGAGATGGGCCAAGGACCTAAATAGACATTTTTCTTTTTTTAATTAATTTTTTTTGACAGGCAGAGAGAGAGAGACGGAGACAAAGGTCTTCCTTTGCCGTTGGTTCACCCTCCAATGGCCACCGCGGCCAGCGCACTGTGGCTGGCACATGGCGCTGATCTGAAGCCAGGAGCCAGGTGCTTTACCTGGTCTCCCATGTGGGTGCAGGGCCCAAGGGCTGGGGCCATTCTCCACTGCACTCCCGGGCCATAGCAGAGAGCTGGCCTGGAAGAGGGGCAACCGGGACAGAATCCAGCACCCCAACCAGGACTAGAACCAAGTGTGCCAGCGCTGCAAGGTGGAGGATTAGCCTATTGAGCTGCAGCGCCAGCCAATAGACATTTTTCAAAAGAGGAAATCCAAATGGCCAACAGATGCATGAAAATATGTTCAAGATCACTAGCGATCAGTGAAATGAAAATCAAATTATATTTTTAATAATTAACCTAAGGAAGCATTAAGAGCTAAAAATGCATATGTATAAATGTCTTCATTGTTTTAAAACCTTGAAATATATATTGCTGAATAGTGTGGTATGGACTGGTTAAATATTTTATGATATGTTGCAACATATTAAAATACTGTTCTCAGGGTCAGCCCTGTAGCCTAGCAGTTTAGATGCCTATCTGGGTGCTTGTATCCCATGTTAGTGTGGCTGGCTTTGAGTCTCAGTTCTATTGCCATTTCAGGCTCCCTACTAGTATACATACTTGGAGGTATCAGATGATAATTCAAGTAGCTGAGTTATTGCCACTCACATGGGAGACATAGGCTGGGCTCATGGTTCTGGTTTTGGTCCCAGGTCAACCCCAGAATTTGCAAGCATTTGCGGAACAAACCAGACCGTGAGAGTTCTGTCTGTCTTTATGTCATCCACCCTACCATCTCTCTGCCTGTTGAATATATAATATGAAATAAAAATACTGCTCTCATCAAATATACACTATATGAATAAACTATATGTAAACAAAAATCAAAATATCAAAAGTCTATTATATATTATATTCACACTGAAATATATATGTGTGTAAAGGCACAAAGGTTTATCTCAAATGATATAGTTTCTTTTTTAATTTTTCTGAACTTTCCAAATTTTTATATTGATAATATTTTACATATATTGGTGTGTACATGCAGTTATATGATTAGATAAAGAATTGTCAAAAGTCACCCACAATCACTTTTAACTACATAAGGGCCAGATTTCATACATCAACTACCCTCAATTCCACTCAGCTGTGTGGAATTACATCCCAACTGAGTCAGAAAAAAAGAGGGAGAGAGCAAGCAAGTGAGAGAACAATCTGGGTGAGTCACCTTTGGCACACCCTTAACCCTGAAGAACCAAACAGAGCTCTCTGGCCACACCCATCACAGCCTCTAAGGATCCATCAAAAGCAGACAGTCCACTTAATCCAGAGTCACAGTATAACTAGAAGAAACCAAAGAATATCTCCAATATGCCAAACAACAAACGCAGAAACTGAGGTAACAAGAATTAGAAAGACACTATGATGTCCCCAAATGAAATAGACACCCCAATTCAAGATTATGAAGATGATGAGATAGAAGAAATGCAAGAAGAGGATCTCAAAACATTGATAAGAACATTAAGAAGTTCTCAAAAACAAATTGTTAAACTACAGAAATCCTTAATGGACAAGATAGCAAATCTCTCTTGCGAAAATGAAATATTAAGGAGGAATCAAAATGAAATGAAACAACTAGTGGAACAAGAAACTGTGATAGTGATGAGAAATCAAAATGAAATGAAGAATTCAATTGATCAAATGACAAACACATTAGAGAACCTTCAAAACAGAATGAGTGAAGAAGAAGAGAGAATATCAGACTTGGAAGACAGAGAACAGGAAAGGATACAGTCAAACCAATGAAAAGAAGAGGAAATTAGAAATCTAAAAAATATTGTCGAAAATCTTCAGGATACTATTAAAAAAACCAACATTTGGGTTCTAGGAGTTCCTGAAGGCATGGAGAGGGAGAAAGGATTAGAAGGCCTTTTTAGTGAGATACTAGCAGAAAATTTCCCAGGTTTGGAGAAGGACAGAGACATCCTAGTACAGGAAGCTCATAGAACCCCCAATAAACATGACCAAAAGAGATCCTCACCACGACACGTTGTAATTAAACTCACCGCAGTGAAACATAAAGAAAAGATCCTAAAATGTGCAAGAGAGAAACGTCAGATTACTCTCAGAGGATCTCCAATTAGACTCACAGCTGACTTCTCATCAGAAACCCTACAAGCTAGA